GATATTGCTGGAATATTGCTAAAAGCGGCGTAAAACTAAGCTCACTCACTCCCTAAATCATCAATTCAATATGTCATTTACACAGACGCGATCATCCCCTCTTATTTTGCTGTTAAAACTTATAGGCGTGTTGGTGACAGGATCGCAATATCGATATGTGTTCGTGGTGATATGAATATCGATTTACCATGTCTTTGTTTAAAGGTATGGGTCATTGTAAAAATGAGAAAATATAAAACTATAAAATATAAATATAAAACTAAATATAAAAATATAGGACTTAGTATCACCTACGTAGGAGAAAGTATGTCCTACGTAGGAGATAATATGTCCTACGTAGGTGATACTAAGTCCTACGTAGGAGATACTAAGTCTTACGTAGGAGATATTAAGTACTACGTAGGAGATAGTATGTCCTACGTAGGAGATAATATGTCCTACGTAGGTGATACTAAGTCCTATGTAGGAGATACTAAGTCCTACGTAGGAGATATTAAGTCCTACGTAAGAGATAGTGACCCCCAAAAAATTTCACCGTGGCGTACTACGTTTCCGTAGATTGTTGTTTTCAGTCACAAATGTTAAAAAAGATTAGTTAGTTAAATTACACAACCAAGCCAGATACAAACCACGGTTACTTTCTGACATATTGTCTATCTGTATCACCTGTACTACCTATTTGATATTCATGCCTAAACGCACGTGGCATAAGCCGGTTTAAGCCCTTATGAAGTAAAAAGTATATATATGTAGGTCTTAGTTATATGAACAAAGTGGGGATGGGATGCCCTAGTAATTAGAGCGTTCGCTCAAGCTGAAGACCCGGGTTCGATTCCCCACATGGGTACACTGTGTGAAATCCATTGCTGGTGTCCCCCGCGGTGATATTGCTGGATTATTGCTAAAAGCGGTGTAAAACTAAACTCATTCACTACATGAACGGAAACTGAGTACAAATGCACCGAAAACCGGAACATGTCTTGTCGGGTGACCGATAATTCTTTTATCAGGTAATCAGATGGAGGGTACTTCGATTGTCTGTGTCTGTGTCTGGATTGTTTGGTCACTGATCGACACTTATTTATAAGTTTAACAGATGAAAAGTACAGCGTGTGTCTGGTCTTTCTCGGAATTGACGGTAAATTGTTGTATCCGAAAATGGGTACTTAGGTGCCTGGTTCTCGTCGGTAAAGGAGCTAAATTGTTTTATTCGAAAGAGTACCAATGTATCTGGTCCGTGCCGTATTGAAGGTAAAATTTTATATTTGAGAAAAAGTGAGTGACTGACTGAGTGAGTGAGTGAGTATGGGTTACGCGCTTTTAGCAATATTCCAGCAATATCACGGCGGGGGACACCAGAAATGGGCTTCACATATTGTACCCATATGGAAAATCGAACCCGGGTATTCGGCGTGAACTCGAACGTTTTAACCACTAGGCTACCCCACCGCCCTATTTGGAAAAGATTACTTCGGTGTTTGGTCCATGTGGGCATTGACGGTAAATTGTTTTATCGGAAAGGGGTACCAAGGTATCTGGTCTGTGCCGTACAGAAGCCATTTATTATTCGAAAAAGGGTACTTATATCTGGCATAGACGGAAAAAAAAATTCCCGAAAAAGGGTACTTCGGAATCTGGACATTCTTGCAAGCTTGTGGCAGGATTCATAATACTTCTATTTCGGTAGGGGCAGTGGGTAGCCTAATGGTTAAAGCATTCCCTTGTCACGCCAACGGTCATGGGTACAATGTGTGAAGCCCATTACTGGTGTCCCCCGCCTTGATATTGCTGGAATATTGGAATATTGCTAAAAGCAGCGTAAACCACACTCACTATTTCGGTATCTGGTCCTTGTCGACATTGATGGAACGTATTTTTATTTGAAAAATGGTATTTTGGTATCTTGTCACTGAGGCAAGATGGTGGCAGGAATCACTATATATATCTGTTCAACATTATACCTACGTGGGCAATTATACCCGACCTGACAAGCGAGCGTGTCCACACTAAGCTACCTATCGCTCAATAATCCTGAAAATACTTGTTTTATTCTTTGTTAAGTAGTGGTGGATGCACACATACTCTCATGGAATCGACGGGGCAACAGACCACGTACCAAGCGACATAAAGACGAACAATCGAACGATTCAATTTGTAACACAAATAGATAGTTATTACTAGTTTATGTTATGAACACAATGCCGGCCTTCACTTGTTACACCTTGGTCTTATCAACATTATATTTACCTCATCAGGCCTTGAACAAAATCCAAACTACTAAATTCGAAATGAATGATGCTACACAATACTGCGCTGGTAGAAAATCCGGCCTTCATTATGGGTCCTAAGTTACTGACAACTACAATCTGAAACAGAAAATCAACAGCGAATTTAGTAATTTTTAAGAAATACGTTATAATTATCTGAACAAAACCGGATTAATTTAGACCGTGAGTTCGGACCCAAAAAATGATTTCATATTTGGATGATGGAAAATACAAATTTCAGAAAAACACGGAAGAAAAATTGACAGATTTGCTGTGTAATCGGAATTAATTGTAATTTTGTCCAGTAAACGAATCATTAAATATTATTGTCAATTTGTATAGTTTTTTTTAGAATACAGTAGAATACAAGGGCAAACGTCTTCTCAGTGGAACTTTATTCACTTTGCACTTTATTCACCTTACTTCGCTTTGCCTCCGTGGTCATTGGATAGAGGACCTGCTCGCAAAGCGTAATATACCAGAACACGTTACCCTGCCTGGGGCTCGGTATAAAATGGATTAAACAAAAACTGGTCGGCTCGAAGTCAGCATGCTGTGTTTGAGCGGTGATGTTGAACTCCGGCTAGAGAGAGTGAGCATGGTTTTACTCCGTTTTTAGCACTATTCCAGTAACATCACGGCTGGGGACACCAGAAATGGGCTGCACACATTGTACCCATGTGGGAAGTCGAACCCGGGTCTTCGGCGTAACGAACCAACGCTTTAACCCCTAGGCTACGCCACCGCCCCGAACTTCGACTAGAACGCCAAACCCATCATTAGCTAGAACTAAGGAAAGCAACCAAACAAATTCCACATGCGAATTTTAACCACTTAGACCTCATCTTTTTGGCATTTTCAGCAAATTTCGAAGACATCTTATTGCATCCTTTTAAAGAGGCATATTTTTTAAGCATCGGAAGTTCCTGACTTGCAGTGGGATCAGAAAGCAGCTCTCAGTGGTATCAATACTCCCCTAAATATCATTCCAAGAAAACATAACCATTATTGTGACTTCCACATCAGGAAGTAGCAGCATTATGGCCCTTTTGGGAACCAGATTTTACGACTAGAAAATCCAGAGGCAGTTTTTTCTCAAAGAAACACAAATCACTAAAATGTGGTTATATCAACAGTTGGTATACCGAGTCCTCGACAGCTTTGATAAATGTCCAATGCAGCTTACTCTACAGACGGAGCATTGTCAGGCTGGTTTGAAGTAAGAAGGTCTATCACGTCCTTGTATCAATATAGCTAACATCGTAAAGGATTGGAATTTAACGGACGGGACATAGGTATGCATAAATACATGCAGCTAAGACGGACGTCTAGAACACAAAGTAAGGTGTCTCGGTTCCTGAAGAGGGCTCACAAGAAAGAGGGCATTAAGCATCACCTTTAGTTTACGACATCTTCAGAAGATCCCTTGTGTCTTCTATCTTACTGCGGCCGCTTTCAATTTCTTTGACTAAATCCTTATTCGTCTGGCCATAGTTCTTACTTAAGCTTCCGTCAGCAATAAGCTATCGGCGCTAACCTTATAACTATCATTTATAAAGACTCTCGGACCGCGTGGTCAAGGCTGGCGGGAGGTGACCAGAGGAAGCGCTGGTGGTAATTGCTTCATTAGAATGGACATCCTAACAGGACTTCTCTGATGTTCATTCCCTTTGTCCTGTGATGACCACGAGTGACCAAGGGACTCCGAAGGCGCTGACCAATCTTCCCAAGCTGACAACGTCGCGTGACAAACAGCTTAAGTTTATTTGGGGGTGAGGAATGGCGGCTAGCGTTAATTCAAACCTGCTGACAAGAGAGTAATCATGAAAGTCAATTTCCAATGACGTCAGTCTCCTCTTTGTTACATCTTCTTTAGTAAGCTAGGGTTTACGGCCATGAAACAGGCACTTATAACTTGGGCAGTCCATGAGAGTGTACAATGTTAAAAATGTCCAAGAGTATATCACGTTAACAGCCATTAACAGAATATTTATGGTGTAGTTTACACGCGTTTAGTATGTGCCCTAGCCTACAGATTACGAAAGATCCTTTAAATTATGTTCAGGCAAACTGGTTTCCAAACGGTTCTGGATACTGTTTGGGGATGATGAAAATGCTGCTTTAAAACAATACATACGTCTTCGTGGTTACTGCGTTGGCTCGTCACGCAAGACCCGGGTTCGATTACAAACATGTGAGACCACTTCTTGTGTATCCCTTCGTGATATTGGTGGAATATTGGTAAAAACGGCGTTAAACCATACCAACACACATATATTATTAGGGTGTTTTCGAGGAACTGAACAACGTTTCTTTCGGAAAAAGTGGCATCTTCCGACTTCGTCATAAATTGTTGAAGATTTTAATGTTGCCGAGGACAACCAGTCCCCGAAACAGACTTCGCTGGGCGCAAAAAGCAAAAAAGCTGTGAAAAACAAATGAATGGACCAAAGTATATTGGTGATGGCGTGATATGGGCAACAGTGGGGTCTGCGGTAATCCTCGTGCTAAGACACATCTGTAGAACCGAACTCACAAAGCGGTCTTCGCGGTCAAGAGAATGGAAGGACATATTGAGATAATCATAGTTATGAAATATTTTTGTGTTCACGACATACAAGTGAACGGGTGAGATTGCTGTACCCAGTGCTAATTCTATTTTAAGCCATTTTCTGTCGGTTTCTTCCTTACAATGCCCATATACATAAAAAGACGGCGTGTTTGTGTTTGCAGTATAAGATCAACTGAGGAACGGGTCCATGCATACTAAACGAAAAATGACCGGACCAAGAACATTTTGGGGATATTTTTATCTATATTGTGTGGTCAGTATTCACTCAAACGTTTTCCCACTAAATATCCTTTGTTTTATTTGGTATGTTTTTTTACTCACAGTCTATAATCTTACGACTGTCCTTATGTTAGCAATGAGGTATGCAGTGTGCGAAATAGTTTCCAAATTTTGCTATCCAGTCTGGCTAGCATTGACTGAAAGTTACTAGCCCACCAAATAATTCACTAGCCCGAAATTTGAATGTAGACACGAGTTTCATCATTAAGCTGCTAATATGAAAATGTTTAATCAGGCCATAATCTTGCATGATTTAAAAGTGTATTATAACTTAACAAGTCGGAGAGAGTGGTATATTTACAAAATATGACTGTGGAGATTTACTGGCCCGACTGGATTTTTTCTAGTTTTGTCGAATCTGTGGTATGCTATTATCATTCACCAGTATTATCTTAACCATCTTGAATCGTCGAAATAAGATCCATAATTATATGTCTGTTTCAAGTAGAGCCCATTGTGCGATTTCCAATACATCAGCTTATAGCAACAGTCATTTCTCACATCCGTGAAGGTCCGGGTTAGAATTGGTCTTCAGCAACCCATGCTTGTCGTAAGAGGCAACCATCGGGGTCGGGTCGTCAGTCTCGCTGACTTGGTTGACACATGTCATCGTATCCCAATGACGTAGATCGATGCTCATGGTCACTGGATTGTCTGATCCAGGCTCGATTAATTAGAGACCGCCACCATATAGCTGAAATATTGCTGAGTGCGGCGTTACACCCATCCAACCATCTCGTTTCTCATCCACTCACTCATAGACTAGTATTGGACAGCGCAATTCGTTGTGCAAAGTTAGGTCCCTTGCGCACTTCTGTCAATGTGTTCGAACTCCGGTTCATCCCAATCATGTGTCTAGGTTTATCAGCACCGGTGCTTGTAGTATTCACCAAAGATGTAAACGTCTGAGACTCGCATCACTTGCGACTTTCATCCGGCATTAAGCTGGCACGAAGCGATATTACTTGAATAAAGAACAAAGCCACTTTAAAAAAACCCAACTCACCCGCTCGCTCATTTCTATACTCCCTTACAAAATGTTGACGTTTAAACCATTTCTGCGACTCTGCTGCCCTTACACACATCAATTATTTTTTATTGTTTTTAAACAAATCATGGCTGCGTCTTCTTTGGCCTAAATCACACAAAGAAGTTTATCTCGTCCACTTAAGTGATTGTTCCAGAGCCTCTTCAATGTCAGTTTGAGAGATTTACTGGGACGTGACTATACCGAGATCAGTTTACGCGATTGCTTTCAAAGCTCAAGAAATCTACACTGGGCTTAACTGTGTATTAAAACGGATGTTTATAGCCGTTTCAAGTCTGTTTTTAAAGTATTTCAGTCCTCACCAGTCAGAGATGGATCCCATATATTTCAACAGTCTGACAACTATCACTGACATATTGATAGTTACAAAAGTAATTTTAAACTTAATGTGTTAACGTAGATACGTTTATTGACTATAGCTGTTGAGGTAATATTAGATGCTGGATGCTTTGAGAGCTCATTAAACCTGCGATGAAACATTTAGGATAATTGAAGAACGAATGTTATGTCTTTCTGTTCTGACAATTGCCATTTCAGATACACGTAATACAACGACTGTTGTTTTTAGTACTTTCAAGGTAATACTATATTAATCGTTTCAAGTTGATTAAACTCCTAAACTATTGTGATGTATCAGCTATTTACAGATACATACAACTTATATATAAGAGAGAGAGAGAGAGAGAGAGAGAGAGAGAGAGAGAGAGAGAGAGAGAGAGAGAGAGAGAGAGAGAGAGAGAGAGAGAGAGAGAGAGAGAGAGACCTAATGCCCAAAAACAATTCCTGCTGTGTAACACGAGTGAAGTTGTAAATATTGGGGAAGATGTAATCAGTCGTTCTCCATTAATATCCGTAGGACAGGATATTAAACCTAATGCTGTCTGAATGTAAGATGCTTTTTATAACGCTTGCTTGAAGTGATCTGGATACAAGCTAAATGTAGCTGTTCGACTTCTTCGGATAGTTTCCCGGAATCCTGTCCCGTTAAGATATGTTTTGTTAAGGATGTATTGTATCTAGTGCTGGTGACATATTCTGTGGTCAGGTTATATGCATTAGCAACTGTATCTGTTGTTCGAAGAATGTGTTGATCCATCTGATATAGGAACAAGAATGTATCTGGTGATCGAAACTAAACATGAAGCTCGGACACCCGAACTGAAATTCTGGAAACCTTTTTGTCCAGAAGGCCTACGCACTGATCAGTTTCTGACAAAGGAATTTACAACAAGAAGCAGGCTGTTATCATGCTGACATATACTCAGGATGAAAAATTACAAAAGAAAATTATCGAAAACACAAACTACTGCTGCATAATTTGGCTCTTGAGCGAGAATATGTTATTTTGCTAAAACCCCATGTTATTTTGTTGTTTATATTTTATTTTGCTTTATTTCAACATTTCTGGCAATATTATATTGAACCCAGAGCCAGCAAATTCTGCAAGAACTAATGTATACGTTATGCACACACACGCACACAGGTAACTATATTTCTATATTGACACTTCCACCAAGACATTTCAAGAAAACTACGTGCCCCTGCTGTGTGAATCGATGAAGCTCTGTCAAGTTGCATCCCCTTGAATCACACCCTTTTCTCTCTCTCTTCAGGTAGCTGCTGACAAAATTAAAGGGAGTTAACGATCGTTTGAAAACCAACGCTGACCACAAGAAAATATCCCGATGGGGTGAACCAGGCCTGAAGCCTAAAATGATCCATATAGCCCAAGGCGTGTATAGATTGCTAGGTAAGTAAACATCTTTATTACTGACCAGTGGAAAGATAATGACTAATGTAATAAATGGAAATCGTACTGTGCCAAAGGCTATCAGCAGACGCACACCCATAGCTTTAATACCGTTATTACCCTGCCAATATATCGATGTGAACTCGTTTTTCTTTCTCAGATCCCTAGCGATCTGCCTTTCATGAACAAGAATGTAAATAGTCACGTCATCATCTCATCCTACCGGGTACCCATTCACACCTGGGTGTGAACAGAAGTATTTTTCGAACCTTTGGTAGTTTTCCCATGAGCTGGTCACGTAAGGAATTTCATCTTTGTAGTGCAAGTTTCGTTGAATTTTAAATGTTCACAGCATCAGTGGTAATAAAAACAAACACAGCTTTACATCGATCAATCATTACAACTAACGGCCTTGGACTTTCGTAAAAATGTCGTGCTCATCTGAACTTTTTTGTTTCGATTCAAGAATCTTTCGTTCTCACAAAAAGACCATGGTGCAGCCTAAGAATAATTACAACCAATTTCATAACAGATAAACCATCTGCTCACTCGTATGGAATCACAGTCAATGTGTTCAGGAGTCGTTCGTCTTGCACGTCTCCCTTCTTGTTTCACTGAAAAGAGTTTGAAGTTAGATATTCTACTTTGCAGGTGTTTGTGTATACTAATGTTATAGTCGTATAGTCGATCTGGAATAAGAGGGAATGTGTTTGTCACGTTGCACGTTGAGAGAACTACCTGGTCGAAGATTCAGCTGCATAAGAAAATATGCCTTTTGTCAAAGTTAGAATGAATGAATGAATGAATGAATGAATGAGCGGGTTGGTGGATGGATGGATGGGTTGGTGAGTAGGCTGGTCGGTGGATGGACGGACAAACGAACAAACGAACAAACAAGGGAGTCAATGAATGAATGAATAAATTTTTTGGGAAGTTTTCAATTGCACACATGAGTTTTTTAACGTTAAACCATGTTTCCACTGGCTACCTATAAACTGAAGTGTAGAAAGGTTGTATTAAATGTGGTATTCGTAATTCTGAGTTCGTAGTTGATTCGCTTAGTGATACCTTGAAGACCTGATCTTAAACTCAAATCCCAAATTGTCTCGGTTTTGAATATTGGTCTGTCCCACATGTATATTCATGTACCACCTTCACATTTAAAAACACCTGTTCAGATCCTGTTAGAACTGATCTTCAGCAACCCATGCCACCCGACTAACGAGATTGGGTAGCCAGGCGTGTTGACATGGTTGATACATGTCATTGTATGCTAATTGCGTAAATCAATGCCCATGCTGTTGATCACTGGAGTGTCGTGTCCAGACACGATTATTTACAGGCAGCCGCCATATAGCTGGAATATTATTGAGTGCGGCGTTAAACAACAAAATTCATTTGGAAATCTAAACATTAAAATTATGGTGAAAATTGACATATCGGTTACACGGACCTCTTAAAACCATTGATTCCCTGAGACCAAAAGGACTGGTTTACACTGTTGTAGTCTCGTCAATCTCAATGTAGACGTCAGCAGAAAAACCCATTAGGATTAAGTTTCTGATGGACTTCCATGTAGAAGATGATGTGACAAAAACTGTGTTTGGCCCACGGGCAGAACTTGTGACGCACATGTCCTATTGTTTTCTGATATATTCCATTACACTACTCTACATGACACAGAGATCTTTATAGTAATGGATGTCAATCATTACTTTTCACGTATTGAAGGATCTTTCAATAGATCGGCCACTCCCACTGAAACTGATTGGCTGACAAGCTTCCATGGTACCGAAGCTGAGCCTTTGTTTGTTTGGGTTTCACTTCCATCATCAGTTCATGTGCTTTAGGTGACAAAATTGATTTACATTCTTGTGTTATTTAAAAAGCAGTATTTGTGATTTCGCTAATAGTTGGCATTCAGTGAGTGAGTGAGTGAGTTTAGTTTTTAACTATATTCCAGCAATATCATGGCGGGGGACACCACAAATTGGCTTCACACATTTTACCAATGCGTAGAATCGAAACCGGGTCTTCGGCATGTCGGACGAACGCTTTAACCACTAGGCTACCCCTACGCCCACTTCCCATTCAGGTTTCTCATTCAAACAACACTCACGGTGCCACACTAAATCCAGCAGTGTTCAATTTAGTACAATATGTAAATAACGGGATTGATATCTTATTTATGCGTTACAAACAACAAAACTCTGCACATACCAGGAAATCAAATTGTAAACATAGGATTCCAGTTTTATCATATTTTCATCGGTTGTAAGAGAGTACGTAAGTCTTTGAAGTTCCTGTTTGCTGTCGGAGTTATCGTTTCATTCATTTCCAGGTTTACCGTTATTGATTTTCATTCGGGAGGCACCATGACACGATCATTTCAAAGAATTATGGAACTAGGACATTCTGTAACGGTACGCTCCCTGACGCTTCTTGGCCGATGCTGTCATCGGGATGAAGTGGCGATGAGTGAGTTAGTGAGTGAGGTTTGATTTATAGTCACATTGGCATAATTTCATCCACATCGTGACCATATGATGATGAAATGTACATCAAGAATTTAGGTTATAGTAAGTTAAGAAGTAAATATTTACATAAAGCTGTAGATTCATGACAATTATAGAATAACGGATTATAGAATAACAACAATTAAATGTATTTAGATTATAGATTAGCAGTACATCAACGGATGTCCCTTGAAAGCACATAAATGTAAGTTAGAAGTACATATACACTCCAGGCTATAGAATATGAACAAGTAAATATACATTACAAGTTGTAGAATATAAACAAGTAAACATACCTCCAGGTTAATCTGAGCAAGTAAATAAACCCTCCAGTTTATAGAATATGAATAAGTAAACATACATTCAGGGTATAGAATATGATCAAGTAATAATAAACCCTCCAGTTTATAGAATATGAATAAGAAAACATACATTCAGGGTATAGAATATGAACAAGTAAATATATCCTCCAGGTTATTGAATATGAATAATATACACACCACATTGTAGAATATGAATAATATACACTCCATGTTAAAGAATATGAACAAGTAAATATCCAGGTTATAAAATATGAATTAGTAAATATATATTATAGGTTATAGAATACGAACAAGTAAATTACATTCCAGGTTATAGAATATGAACAAGTAAATTACATTCCAGGTTATAGAATATGAACAAGTAAATTACATTCCAGGTCATAGAATATGAACAAGTAAATTACATTCCAGGTTACAGAATATGAACAAGTAAATTACATTCCAGGTTATAGAATATGAACAAGTAAATAATAATAGAATATGAACAAGTAAATATACACAATGTAATTCCAAACAAAACCTGATTCCAGGAGGCTCCATGGGATAACTCAAACATCCCTCTTGCTGCTATTCCGATTTGAAGACGTGTCCAATACATTATGCCAACAGATGAAAAAGCACCGTGCTCATGGAGGTGGAAGCTCGCGCTGCAATTACATTACGATTACCCGCCAAAGTTGGACGTGCTCTTTACGATGGATATTAATTCATATTCTTCCTCTGTTAGATTAGCTGCGTGCAATGGAACACCTCTCGGAACCATCAGAACGAAGGTTCATTTCGTACGACCGTACCACACAGTAATTACGGTCTCATATCTAAATTGGTCTGCACAAAAACAGGAAATTTCAACTAAATTCATTTCCGTATTTGTTGAAAATTTCGGCCAGAGAGGCTTTTATTCACGTCCTTAGTCTTGCTGTGGCACTACCAGTTCGTATTTCATTTGGTATTTTTTCGCCTCGTAAATACATTGTTGTGAATTTGTTATCTCGTATTGTTTAAATCTACACAATTATGTGGCAAGTGCGTCCTCAAATGTGTTTCTGCTACTTCAGGTTTAAAATTAAAATGGCATCTCTAGGAAAAATAACACCCAGAACATACACAGATGTGTTTATAATATGTGACTAGATTATATGTAGATTTGACACCGCTAAATTGAATGTCGTTGGGAATGTGCTGCGAGGTTTCAAATGACCCCTTGTACTCTCTGTTACGATAATGGTTATGAAAACGACCTATTCTTTCAAGTGCAATAGCGGTTCATTGCGTACCACATGTCCTCTTTCCTGCTATGTATAGAGCGATGGGGAAGATCCAAGATGAACGTGTTTGATCGTTTGAACGTGTTTGGTTCGAGTCCAAAAAGTCTGAAGCCCGTGTGTCAGTTCACTGTCGCAGGACACAACTCGGATTTGAAGTTTACTTTGAGGATTGCGTAACATCGCACCCCGACATCGTATGGGACAATGGTCACAATATTATCCACTAGACGCGACTTGAATATTTACTGGACTGCATGATATAGCGTTGGCATTTCTTATTCTGGCCACCAAACAAACCGAACATACTACGGCATGACAATCAACACCCTTCCATTTAAGCAAACAAAACAAACCCTGACATGACACTGAAAATCCTTCATGTAAACAAATAATGCATATTATGGCATGACCATGGAAATCCTTCATGTATATAAACACAAACATATCATGACACGACCATGAAAAGCCTTCATATAAACAAAGAACGCCATGGCATGACCATGAAACATATAATGAATTGACCATGAACACTGTTCATGTATTTCAAGACTGAAAACGGTCCCAAGTAGCGAAACTTCTTTCCTTGTGCATATAAAGTGGTTTACTTTCACTTGTATGATGCTCTCAGTGCATTAATACAATTGTGACAGTTATAGGATTCCTAGACTTTTAAACTGATAATGTTCCCATGAGATGTGCGCTTAAATGGGTATTCACATTATATAATCTAATTCTTCTCTGCGTTGGGCAATGGTATCAAATGGGAACGATCCCGATCGATTTTAAATCGTCGCCCGTGATCTTTAAGTCATCATCTTTAACTATCCGCTGCCGACGTGCTTAACCTAATGCAACTGGAGACCATTCCTATATATGTGCAACTGGAGAGATTA